ATTAAAAATATATAAATATTGTAAAAATATTTCTACTGTACGGTTGTACTCACCAGTATCCATGTAAACCAGGCTAATTGCATCGCCATAATGAGGGTTTAATACGTCGTAGAAGTACTTGTACATTAGCGACTTGCTAATGTCAAGCACTGCTAAACCGACGTATATTAGTTTGAGAAACTTGACAATCTTTGTATCCATTATGACGGCGCACAACCTTTCGCCGTATTTAATACAGTCGTTGAAGGTTGGTTGGTTTACGAGCTTGCTTAGACGTTCGGGACTGGAGATTAGTTCAATGCGGATGCGTTTCCGCATGTTCTCCATGGTTTTCCCTATAAAATATAAATATTTATCAAATAACTCACTTTACCATTGAGCGTGCACTTACCAAAGACGGCATTATTCATTAGTTTGAAAAACGATATTTCAAAAGCATTTGCCGCCTGTTTCCGCATTTCAGTGTTCAACTCAATGTACGGTTTCAACCAAGCACTTTGTTGAAACTCTAAAACGCGGTGCACCTATGTGACAAACATATTAATATCATAGCTAATAGCTCTAGGTACGATGTATATACTTTATCGACTTGCAGTCCGTGTGCGATCGCCTGTTTCAAGTTGACATAGTGTACGACGTACCGTTGTTTGGGTTTCAAAGTGGCCATGAGTTTGGTCTCTTTGGAACCCGGTGGTACATCGTTGACAGGCAAGAACGGCAAATCGTTGTGCTCGTCATGCAGCCCTTCTGGATACGATACATCTATTTCATATATACGCCCCATATTACCAGTGTCCGAAAGCAATTGGAGGTCGGCCAGAGGATCTGATCCTTCATACCACCGGAAGCCACCGTACGGCATGGGCTGACTCATAGCCCACCCGTAAAGGTTATTGCCTATATACATTAAACGTTTTTAATTCACAGCTCAATTATTGTACTTTTATATATAATACTTACAATCTTGATACACGATCCATGAGTTTGGTTTTGTCGGATCGTAGCCAGGTGTCTTTGGATTGTTGGCCTTGGCATAGTGCTTGACGGCCTGCACCAGCCTACCACGAATGCCCTGTTCCACCATCAGTAGCATGTCGTAGTCGTTTAAGAGCTCCAGCTTTACCCTGGTGTACTTTAACATACAATCGAAGCTAAAACCCGGTGCGGTATAATAGTGCGCCGGGTCCAAATTGTATGTTGTAGTACAGATGTCGCGAAAGTTCTCAAACACGTCGGCCAACAACAGCACGTCAATCTTTAGGTATAGGTCACTGTACTCACCGAGGGTTGAGCAACCGAAACGATTCCACACCTCTGTGGCGTGTCTATAGTCGTCGTCATCGATATTCGACTCATTCAACTGACTATAGAAAGCGTCGCGGGGTGGTAGTACCGTTTCGTCCAATTTAGCCCAACTATCAGTGTACTCGTAAGGGTATACGCCCTTATGCGTTACCAACGGCATGTCTTCCGGGCGGAACACCTGGGCCGTCTCTCGGAATTTAACGAAATAGGGCGTCATTAGGTTACCGGCCAAGGTGGACAGGGAGGAGGCCATGAATCGGAAGGTGTCGACAAACCGTATGGAGAAGTTATTGGTCACGTGTTTCGTGACCGAAATATACTTCTCCTCGGAATTCGGTATAACCGAAATCCTATGGTCGTCGTACCCCAATTCAGTGACGATGAAATGCGCGTCGTAACCCGAAAGATTGTGCAAGAAGCACGGCACAAAATTGACCGTCTTCACTTTTAGGTTACACGCATTGCACAACGTCTGTCTGAATCGGCCTGATAGATGGCAGTGGTCTGCGACTTTGGGGTTGGAATCCTTGAATGCCGTGCGGCACAAGTCGCATACCACTTTCTCCCCGTGCCTGCGCACATCATCGACAGACATTCGAATGGGGACGTTAGTTTTACGCAACAATTTGGAAATGTTGCGCGTCACTTCCGTTACAGCCATCACAAATGCCTTGGCGACCTCTTCGCAATCCTCAGACCCACGGTATATCACCGGTGATTGCGGTATACCGTAGCGTTCGAGGAGCTCCGAGGGCACATCGTTCGATGTTTTCACCATGAACCCGTAGCTCATGGGATGGTGTGTGTGCACAGTCCTAGTATAGGTACCTATACGATCGTCTGTTTGCTCCAGCAAGGCCTCAAAATCGGCGTAGATGACAAACGGTAGCCGTTGCGTCTTTACCCACGCGTCAAATTCGACCTTACTGCCCTCCGCCGGCATTACGGGTAAAATAGGCTTGTTCTTGCCGCATATCAACTTGTGTTGCTCCAACGCTTGATGACCTCGAAGAATATTCTTTTTAGACTGATCATCAAAGCTGGTGAAGCAACGTCTGCAAGTATATATACGGCCATGATGTTGCGTTTTTTGGCTGCGCACGAGCCTCGAAAAATTTGAAATGTACGCGTAATGATACTTGTCAGAGTCACCGATATACAACAGGTCAAAATGATTTTGTTGCTCTTGGTCGGCGACTCTTAGCGGATACACCGACCACTTCATATTAACATTGTCCCGTTCCAAGCCGTACACGTTGACGGACACGTTGGGGTTACGTCGTTCAAATATTTTAATTTGGGACACTGGTGTGGGGAACGTCAACTCCGTGAAATCATACCTGTGTTCCTCGTCAAAATATTGTTTACCGACGAAAGATTTATCATGAGCCTTAACATGTCTCGCCAAAATGGCCCACTTGAAACAGCACTCGTCTTTTTTATTCTGTGGGTTGATGATTGCCTTTCTATGGAAAATTTCAGGTGGGACCGGAATATATGATGAGCCGGTGAGGGGCGTATACTTGTATACGCTGAGCATGAGTCCGTCGATATGCGCTAGCGTGAATCCGCTACCCCTACCCGAGTACACGTCTTCCTCAGCGAGAATAATCTCTAAATCATCATTGACCGCACCTACAATATCCGTGTCAGAGAACAACGCCCTAGCCCGTGTCTTGAAGGCACGGTCCTCGGGCGGTGCTTCCGATCGCGGTATATGGTAAGAGGCCTCCAATTTGAGATTATATTTAATAGACCGAACAGCTGTGATTTCACCGAGTTTGGCAACCAGCTCGGGTTTAACGGCGCGCAGAAAATCTCGATAGCTCGCGAAATTTTCCACGTTTTTCCGATAAAACCAAACGGCTCCTCGCTTCAATGCGGAATCAATCTCGATGAAATTTTTCGCGTCCGGCAATTGTATACGCAACCTTTTGGATTTTACCCTACTGTTGTTAGCCCTACGTTTAACCGAATGGTGGTTTGGAACAGTCGTGGAAGAGGTGGCTGTGAAAAAATGTGTAAAAACAATTTGTACGTCGAAAATATCGAAATATACAAACAAAAAAACTTACCTTGTGCAGCACCAGTAAAATGTACATCAGCCATTGTTATTCAATTTTAAATTAAAAAAAAAATAAATAAATAAATAAATACTAGTACTTGTATACGTTTAACTGAATATTTTTAAGCAATATGTTAGCGAGCCGCTAATAACGCTTAGTCAAAGAGTGAATATAATCATTATTGATGTCTTTATAAATACGGATTGTTACTGTATTATCCGCTGCATCAGTGATGGTGGTGCGCGGTCATTAATCGCACAAGTACATCGTATATCGCGAGCATAATGACCAAAGTATATCAAGTGGTCTGAGAAAAAATATTCAGGTTTCTACATGTTATACAGCACTTGTTACATTTTTATAAACGTCACCCAAGACAATTAATTGATAAATTTGTAAATTTGTCATTTGTAATGGCGTGAAAACATTCAGTCTTAAAGTGAAATGTTTACACATATATGTCATTAGGATTTAAAACAGATGCCTTTGTAAAAATTATGACCGTCTGCCGTCTCTAATGCGTTGACGGATGAAGAATGCAATCCTTCCAGTCGAAGCTATTATTTTATTAAAAATAATTTATTACAGTTGTTAAATACGGTAATAATTTATAACAATGGGGGGGATACCAGTAATAATTCAGACAAAATATATATGTACGACATTAATCGATAAGTATAATACAGATTATAATAATATTATAAACATTATAATATATATGTTCCAGTGATTACGTCGTCGTCGTCGGCGGCGGCGGCGGTAGTGTTTATTTAAGAATGTGTTTTGCTATAAGAAAACTTGAAAAGTCGCCATTAGTATATATTGTCTACAAAAAAAAAATATTGATTTATTATTCACTATACGAATAACGGTCAAGCTTATTAACTCGTATAATAACAATTAATCTAATTGACGGCGACATCGCCGACGCCGTCGCCGCCGCGTTGGGCCATCTGGTGTATTAATCTCAAGTGCTATAGTGTAATCATCAATACAGCCATCTGGCACACAATGTTTCGAACTAATTTTTTTTTTTTTCACAAATTAGGTAAAATTAACATTTTACGTATGGACTTTATCTAAATATATGCATGTGGCATATCAAAATAGCGGATTCGACGTTTAAAAATTGTACTTTTCACCGTAACCGTATAGCTTACCTGGAAAATGCATTTTTTTTTTTTTTGTCAAAAAACCGATATTATGTATATATGGGCGAGCATAATTTAGGCGCGTGACAGGTTGTGTTAGTTTACGTCGTGTTTCATTCCCCCTCCTCCTATAGGTTTGTTTACCTTAAGTTACATTACCCTTCTCTCATAAGACTTGGAGGAGGAGGAGGGGTTCTTCTTAGGTTAGTTTACGTTGGGTTACATCATCGTTCCCCCTCCCATTGTATTATGTTAGTTTACGTTGGATTCACTTCCTCCACCCTAAGACTTGGTAGAGGAGGAGAGGTTCCTCACCTGACTTAGGTTAGTTTACGTTGGATTTACTTCCCCTCCACCCCTCTTCACATTAACATTGTGGTGGGGTGGGTGGGTGAAGCGGGGGGGAACCAGAATGCCCTTTTTCACCCTACTAACATATATCATTATACTTATTTAAATATAAATTCATACATTAGTAAAAGTTTTGTTCTAATAATTTTGTAATATAAGTGTGAAATACATTTTTTTTAATTTATAAGACACTGAGTTTACTATGCATTTTAATGGACAATATTGTATTTTTTTAATAATAATCATAAAATTAGTAGTAATAAAAAAAAATTAATTACCAAATTAAAACATGGAGTATGAGGTTTTTATATTAATTAAAATTATTAAAAAGGGTCGCCAACTAGTTAGATTAGACTGTAGTGGGACCATATCTGGGTTTCCGTAAAATAAAAATCAAACAACTTTTAGCTACGATGCGAAGCTGAGAAGGTATTGGTTTTATTAAGATGTGTTTTTTTTTTGTGTCTGTTACCACTCTTTTTCAGCACTCACCGAACCGATTTCTTTCAACGATACGTCAAAAGATCACAAATTGTATCTAGTCGAAGACATTACCCTTAAAAATTGAAAAAATTTCCCTCGTTCCCCGTAAATGGGAGAAACCTCCAAAAAAATTACAAATTTAAAAATCGCTAATTTTCGAAATTTTTTCAATTTTTTTTACTAAAAACTGCCGCAACTTTTTCAAAAATGAACATATCAATAACATTTTTTTTTATATAGATGCTTTAAGTTTTTATCTAGCATTTGGTATATTTTTTTTTGTAAATCTGACCCTTTATCTGCCCACAGGGGGAATTTAAAATGACAACTTTTTTACAAAAAATTAACTTTTGAAAATGTTCCGGAAGGTCTGACACTTTTATATATATATCTTAAATTAAAGCTAATGTAATATACTTTATCATGAAAAAAAAAAATTTTGACTTTATCTTATCTTCACGGTGAAAGTGGCTACCGAATACTATTTTTGTGTGAAAATTCTCGATTTTATTTTTTATATTTTTAACTTTATAATGCTATAACTTATTGAAAAGTGTATGGATCAACACAATTTTTTTATTAGAAATAATATTTTTTAATAATCCCTTTTTCATTTGACATACTTTATCTTAATCAAGATATTAATAAGGAACTAGCAGATCATGTAGCTTTTGGAATAATACACCAATTTTTTTAAAATTAAACACAATCTAAAGATTTGCATCGAAGCGTTTATTTTTTATTTATTTTTGTAAAGTTTTAAGCATACGGATTCTAAGGTTTAATTGGAGTCTTTTTGCACGAGTATGATGGGCTCAGGTAAGTCGGCGATCTAGGGTTAAACCAAGATATTTTACAGACGGAGAAGATGGAATTTGAATACCATAAAGAGTAATACTTGGGTACTGATCAAGCTTAAGAGTAAATGTTGTGTGAATTGATTTTGTTTGATTGACCTTAAACCTCCTTCTTATACCAAACTTCCATAAAGGTGATTTTGTAAGTTATACGATGCAGTAATGGAATCTGCATTGGTTCCTAAAATTACTTTATCGTCTGCATAGTCTGCCACTAATGTATTAGTCGTGGTTGGTTGGTCTGAAGTGTATATGTTATACAGTATTGAGGAAAGGATGTCTCGTTGTAGAACACCAATTCTAATTGGTGCAATATTAGAATATGCTGATTTATGATGTACTTCAAAATATCGATCGGTTAGATATGACTTAAGAAGAATATAATAAGTAGGGGGCCAAAACGTCTTTAATTTGTATAGCAGTCCTTCATGACATACTCGGTCAAAAGCCTGTGAAATATCAAGAACAGCGCAGGTACAATATATTTTTTTTTCAAGTCCGTAAGAAACTGAGTCAACTAGTCTATTAACTTAGTGGATAGTTGAATGCTTTCTCCGAAAACCAAATTGGTAGTCTGGTAGAATTTTATTTTCATTGATAAAGAGAAGTATGCGCTTGAGTATGAATCTTTCAAAAACTTTCGCAAAAAATAGTAATAGACTAATTGGTCTATAAGAAGTTGACAAGTCAAAGGGCTTATTTGGTTTTGGGAATAGGATGATTTTAGAGAACTTCCAGAGAAGTGGGAAATAGGAAAGCCTCAGTATGGCATTAAATATATGGGTAAGTAGGATAAATTCTCGTTTAGGTAGACATCTAGCTACATCAGCAGTAATTAGATCAAAACCTGGAGACTTCTTTAGAGAGAATTTTTGTATGGTAAATTTAATAACACTTGGCGTAAAATGCTTGACTGGTAGATTAAGTGGTAATGGTACGTTAAGATACCTAAGAACCGTATGTATATTGTCAGATGAAATATCTTGGTGGGGTTAGAAAACGTTAAAGAGGTGATTATTAAATAGTTCAGCTTTCTCAAGGTTTGACGAGGCTAGACTTCTATCAGTCTTTTTGTATATTGTATTTAGGAGGTGAGTAAATTACTGCTACTCTAATTTGAATATTATTTAAACTGATTTGTATAATATATATATAATACGATAACGAGTGCACGCGATAGTGTACAACTATAAAATTATCAATGTGTTTAACGTATATCGCCGAAACGAGTGAACTATATTAGATGTAATTGGGGCACTTTGAGTTAATTATGCTAGTAAACGATTAAGAAACGCGACTTCCACATTTCCAAACCCAGTTTACAGGTATTATTAAGTGAATTAATTAATTAAAAGAGAGAAAAATAAAATAAGATATCGGGAGCGCGAAAAAACACATGCGTACCATATAAACGCTATCGCAGGACTGATATTATAACTTATGTATAATATAATATATAATAACATATCAAATACGATTTATTATTGAAATAATATGATTACAGCATTAGTCCCCGAACAAAAAAGTATGCTAATTATTCTATAATTATTTTATGTTAAACTTTTTTCTTTCAGACTGCATTATTTGTCTAATGAAACTTACCTCAGAATTCAGTACTCATGATTGTGGTTGCCAATATCATAATATATGCATAAATGTTTGGAAAATTTATAAGAATAATGCTAAATGTCCCAATTGTCGAAAAGTATTATTGAGTAAGATTTTAATATTAAATATTACTAAATTTGTAGTCAAGAGTTAATATAATGTAGCTATAAATAATTTAATAATTATTAAAAATTAAAAAAAAATAATTTAGCTATCATAAATATACTATTTCAATACTTACGTATAATTCAATAATAATACATAGTTATTCTTTTAATTCTGGCCACTTAATTTCTTAATTTTTTTTTCAATTTACATATCTATTTCCATTTATCTGTTATAAAATAATTTTTGTGTCCAATCCTTACATCTCATATGGGTGTCAATTAATTTTTTGAAAGGGTAAAATACATATATAACTATCTAATCAAATAGAAAATGATCTAATTAAGAATATGACTGGTCGATAATCACTTTTGGACCAGTATTTCAGAAGTTATTAACAATTAATTTTAATGACTGGAGGTAAGTAGTGAGAGCTGCTATTTTTATCACTTGTCATTACTCTGTCATCTTTTCCTCTCGCCAACATATGAAAATAAGAATCACTTCCAAACTACTAGTCCAAAAGTAATCAAACAGTAATTTTTTTAATTTAGACATTCTCTATTTATAAGTTGGTTAATGTATGTTGCCATTTAAAAAAATTAAGCTTACACCTCTATAAGATATAAGGGATGGACATAAAAAAATTTTATAACAGATAAATAAAAATACATAATATGTATTTATCTGTTATACAATTTTTACATATTATATAACAAATAAAAAATAAAAAAATTAAATATTTAAAAACTTCTTTAACTCGATCTTTGGGATAGCCTTCAGATCATTCGGCAATGAGCTCTTAATCTCATCTATACTTGTAAAACAACGGCCCCATAAGGTTTTCTTTATGATTGGAAATAAAAAAAGTCACACCGAGCCATGTCTGTTGAATATGGAGGCTGAGGCATCGTTACAGTTTTGTTTTTGGCCAAAAATTCACGAACAAGCAATGAATGTAGGTAGTACTCCTCATTGACCGTTTTACCTTGTGTCAAGAATTCAGGATGTATTCTGCCATTAAAATCGAAGAACACAGTGAGCATAACCTTCACGTTCGATTGCACTGTCGAGTCCATTTCAGTTTTGACAATATAGAATGCCTCCACTTTGACGATTAACATCGCATTCATAAACCCATGTTTTGTCACCTATTATAATACGTGTCAGTAATATTAATCGTCGTTGACTTTATTAAGTTACTCTTGAGCAACTTCAATTCACCGTTGTTTTTGTTCAAAATTCTAAAATTTTGGAACAAATTTTGCTGCTATGTGTTTCATACTCAAAACATTCGAAAAAATTTCATGAGCCAATCGATATTCTAACATCATTAGCGATTTCTCTGATTGTGATTCGATGATTCTTCATAACCATTTCTTTAAATTTTTCCACGTTTTCATGGGTTGTTGATGTGCTGGGGCGTTCTTCATCTTCAACTTCTTCACGGCAATCTTGAAAATGCTTATAGCACTCGAAAACCTTTGTTTTACTCATAGAAAACTCACCATAGGAATTTATTAACATTTTATACACTTTATTTCATTTTTTACGCAAAATTTGATACATCCTTAATTCAATTTATAGCAAACAAAAATCGCCATGCTCATAAAAACACGTTTAACCTTAACGGCTGCCACTGACAATGTAAAAAAAAAGTCCAGCACAGTGGGGACTTAGAATAGTTGGGTTCAGTATAGATGATATCTGACAGTAATTAAAATCACTATCATGAAAAACGCTTCGATGCAAATTTGTAGATAATGTGTAATTTTAACAAATAAATGGATTATTTGAAATGCTCAATGATCTCCCATTTCCTTATTTATATTCTGATTATAAGTTTTATGATTTATAAGTGTAATATAGGAATAAATATATATATATATATATATAAATAGTACTTATCATAAAAAAATTGTATAAATCCATACATTAAAAAAGTTATAGCATTATAAAGTTGAAAATATAAAAATCTACCCTGTGACCACGTAAAGGGTCAGTTTCATGAAAAAAATATACAAAACGATAGGTAATTATCTCATGTGTCATAAAAAAAAATTGAAATAAAAATTAGCATTGAAGCTAAAATTAAAACAGCTGAAAAGTTTATCATACTTTAGGGACATCTATACCAATATTATGAAAAATTTTTTTGATAATTTGATCTAAATTCCGTCTATGGCATATTGTTTACCACAATATTATATTTACCAACCTTCCCTATTGTTCAAAAACTGGACGACGATGTTCATCCACGCAGTTGGATGTATACCACCCTGACAGAGTAGATCCTCAACTCTATCTAGAAACTCTCGTGTGTCCTCTTCGTTTCTCCCGTACTATTCAGGTAAGCAGGCGCTTACAGTGTGCAGGTCGTGGTAATGTACCAATATAGACCGCGAGCTACGGGTAGGCGACAAATCATTCAATGACCGACGACGTTTGGTTGTATTGAGTTGCTGAGTTGTCCCAAGTGATTTTTTGATTAATCAGAAAATCATGACCAAGTAATACGTTACAATACAAGTCGTCTAAAATAACCGCTGAAAAACGCACTTCTAAATCCGCGATTTTGGCGGTAAACGTGGCGGTACCGTTCGTCATAGCGGTGTCTGTCCATTAGTCTAACCACGTCGATGTGTCTTTTATAAACAGTTCCGTATTTATAAGCAATTGCCGGTTTTACATACGATTTATGCGCCTGTGAGTTGAGTAAAGCTGTGACGAAGCCAGTTTCGACTGCTGGAGAAATAATTCTACGTGGGAATTTTCGTTGGCCATTACTCGGGTGATTTACGGTTCGAACGGAGGGTAGCTGGTTCTTAACCGCGATGACGGATTGCCCACTGACAGCGTTAACTGCCATTAGTGGACTTGCCTGGTCGACTGATACCCCCTCCCCACTGTGTCTGAAAAAATTTCGAACACCTGACTCGGTTGACCTTGATAGTAGTGTCGGCAGTGTGCTCGAACTCCGATGCCCTGATTACATCCGAATTTACCACTACGTACCCTCCATTCCGATAAGAGGGGTTCAGTGCCGAAAGATTGCCAAGATCGTTGGCGGAGTGTAAATCGCTAGGACTGTTAGATTCGGTATTGTCACGACGGTCGGATTGTGTGATATGTTTTTACCGGGTAAAAATTGCGTAGCGGAATATACAGGGTGATTTTTTTATCATAACCCACTCAATTACTTACAGAATAATAATAATTTAAAAAATTTTTTTTATTACTATCTTTAGTTACACATTATTCTTGATTTATTAACTATGTAATACTTTTTAAGATCATCCCTTATGCCTGGTAAGGGTGTCAACTTTGTTTTTTTAAATGGTAACACATATTTTGAATTTAATAAAATGTTTGAGTTTTCAATTCAATAACAAATGTCATTTGAATTTTTAATATAACTTTATTCGTTTATTAGATATAAACATTTAAAGTTTCAATTTTTTGAGTTAATATACATGTATAATACACTAGGGATTAAAATTATAGGTAGCTAATTGGTTTTTTATGACATCGATATTAGCAGGTACAAAGCATTGTTATTATCAATGGTAGTAAGACACATTGTTGTGAGTATATAAATACACTAACTGACAATACAGAATGTATATCTATTGATAGTCATAATTGATAATAAACAATCCGTAACTGTGATAGCAATATCATAAAAAATCAATTAGCTACCTGTATTTGTAATCCCTTGTGTATTATACCTATATATTAACTCAAAAAATTGAAACTTTAAATGTTTATATCTAATAAACGAATAAAGTTTTATTAAAAATTCAAATGACATTTGATATTAAATTAAAAACTCAAACATTTTATTAAATTCAAAATATGTGTTACCATTTAAAAAAACAAAGTTGACACCCTTACCAGGCATAAGGGATGATCTTAAAAAGTATTACATAGTTAATAAATCAAGAATAATGTGTAACTAAAGATAGTAATAAAAAAAAATTTTTAAATTATTATTATTCTGTAAGTAATTGAGTGGGTTATGATAAAAAAATCACCCTCTATAAACAAATAATGATAATAAGCTAAATATTTTTAATTTGCCATGGAATTTTATGAACTCGTTTATTGCTTGTTCGACAAGTTACATTGTAAACAATAATAAATAAATTATTACGTGTCTCATCTACGGCAGTGTAACTTTGCTTACCTAAGCTAAAATGTCTTTTTACAGGAGAACGAGAAACACCTATAGGAATATGTATAGCTTGTTTAAAAAATAAAGGGTGCAAAAGTATGAATAAAAACTGCAGCCACTTCTATTGTGAAGAGTGTTTTGAAGAAGTTTTAAAATATTATTATGGTTTTTGTCCAATCTGCATGGAAGAATATAATGGAGAAAGATGAAGGTCGAAATAAATAAGTTGTTTATAAGAGAATATGTGATGGTCTATTTAATAGTAAAAAAAAATTATATAATTTAGTGTTAATTTTAAAAGTTTATTATATAAAGTATAATTATTAAAATGTCTATACAAAAAACAAATAATTAAGTGATACATTTTATTACACATGCGTTTTATATACATTTACAATATGAAATGTCTAAATTTTTAAAATCATTTATAAAAAGACAACTAATTATGTATAACTATCATTCCAATAAATGAAAAAGTAGAAAAACAATTTTTATTTTTTGAAAATTTCTTTTTGCTTATGCATTAGTGGTGAGCGTGTCACAAGCGCTGTGGATAAGGGATAAAAATACTTCCACAGCTCTTCTGCCAGTCGTAAGAAGCGACTAATGAGATTGTGTCAGGTCGACAGCCGGCGTAAAAATTTTTGTCGAAAAAGTATGAGGAATCCTGAACAAAACTTAGGCGCATTGTCCCATCTCGGATATGCGCGGAGACAACAGAAAGTAGTTAAAAAAGGAGAAGGCCTAAGGAATAAAGTGTTTGATACCAGCCGGACAATTTGTGCGGTAGTTGTTTCACCAGTAATGTGTAGCAATTTGATAACAATTAATTTAATATAGCGCCTCCATCAACATTTAAATTACCGTATCAATTGGTATCTCTTTTGATGTCATCTCAAAAAATTTATTTATTTATACTCTGAAATATTATTTCTACCCTCTATCAATCGTTTTACATATTCGTTTTAATTTTAATTTAACAACCATTATTTCTTTAAATATAGTTCAGTAATTTTTAATTTATGATCGGAGAAGTTTGCTTTCTGTAAAGTAACGTTAAAGTGATATAAATAATCATCGTAGATTTTAATTTGAAAACTATTACCAGTTAAAAGTTAGTTTTTCAATAATTCATATTAGAATACAGCATGGAATATTTTTATGATGTGTATATTATATATTATAGATGAATATGATAAATAAAGATTAGTTAAATGGTATGCAAAATAAATGTAGAATGTGTATATCCGATCTTAAAATAGGAGTAGAAAATAAGAGTCTGGGTTTATATGTGATAAAATAAAAATACTGGAATGAGACTCCAATGGCTGAAGTAAAACTTGATGATGAACCATCATTTCAAGTTTAATTAACCGTAAGATTTCTATTCACTCGTGAAGATTCAAACAAATAAATCAATGTAAATCTTAACCTTGTATTTAACGGGAAAAAAGAGCACAGCTCTAGTAGTAATGTTTTTATTAATAATTTATTTTAAATTAAAATATGTATTTAAATAAACATCGTATTCGATTAAAATAAAATTATTGTTTGTATAATTTAATATTTAATAAATTACTTTCATTTTTATATTAAAATAAAGAAATATGTATAGTAATTACTATAAAAAATAAAGTCCTGATCATGGTGTGAATAAATTGCGTGAGAAATCTGTAGAAATTAGAAACTCGAGATTATAAAATGCAACATCTCGTTTACAAACATAATAATGAAAAATTTTATACATAGATTTTAACTCTATTAAATTATATAAGTAAAAGTGCTTTTATGTACAATTTTGTAAAATAAAAAGCAATTGTATCGTTTAACACATATAGCTAAGTTTCTGCGAAATTCATCGGAAACTAGGAAGGTAAATTGTATGGTAGTAAAAATTGCTGACATATACAAAACTAAAACACTTAAAACTGGGAAAATTATTATTGTTCATGTTATCGTTGTGTTACATCGAGTTGTTGTCGGTCTTCTCTCTATGTCTACATTGTCTCCGCCATCTCAACGCTTCTTCTGCTATAAGCTCTATGGCGTTTGCAAGCCAGTAGTTTTTTTATATTCGTTTTGCTGTAAAAGAAAAATATCACCCATGCGATTGTCGCACCTGTGTTGTTAAGTTTATCGCCGTTGCGTCTATATATTTTCTGAGATGCATCACAGTACCGTTCACAGCATATTGTACACGTTGGTCACTCGCATTCGACTCCAATTGATCCTTTCAGTATTGACACGGTAATAAAAGGTTAATGATAAAATAAATTTATGTTATGATTAGACTGTGGAGTAAATTTATTTTATTTTAAAATATAATAATATTATTATAACACTATAATATACAAATTACGGACGGGTGAACCGAAAGGTGCGGATTAAACAAAATAAGGCGCTGGTAAATAATACGGCACGTGCGGTGGATGTAAGTCACAGATGAACTGGTTTACATAGTTACCGACGTGTCTCGCGGTGCTGTACCCCCTGACCTGTCCTATCTACCGATCACCGGACAAGACAAACTCATATTATCGTCAACACTAACAAGTGCGACGGTGGTCAACTGATAATCACGACTGGATAGCGTGCTAATTCAAAGTAAATGAATAATGCGCTATTACGGGCCGTGTCAGTATTCAACATTATCGTCAGCCTTTTCTTTAGCCTAATTGATATGTTCATTTTTAAAAAACCTACAGCACATTTTAGTAAAAAAANAAAAACCTACAGCACTTTTTAGTAAAAAAAACTGAAAAAATTTCGAAAATTAGCGATTTTTAAATTTGTAATTTTTTTGGAGGTTTCCCCCATTTACGGGGAACGAGGGAAATTTTTTCAATTTTTGAGGGTAATGTCTTCGGCTAGATACGATTTGTGATCTTTTGACGTATCGTTGAAAGAAATCCGTTCGGTGAGACTTGAGAAAAAGTGGTAACAGACACAAAAAAAAAACATATTATATTAAAACCAATACCTTTTCAGATTCGCATCGAAGCTAAAAACTGAGTGTAGCACTTGTGAAGTGCCGACAGAAGTGACTACTTCCTTTAGCGAGCCATGACATGCTTTAAATAAATTACGTTAGCACAAATTATATATTCTGTATACTAATGTATACATAATACTTTTCTAGTTTTTATAACTTGTCAAAACAGTTAATAAAAGTTTTATTTACTTTACTATAATATTACATCAATGGACAAAATTCATACTTAAGTTTGAAAACTTGTACAATATAAATGTAATTATAATACTAGTATAATATATTTAGCATTATCAATTGTTTGATGTTAATACTCAGAATGTCAGGTTCCTTATCAATACCTGGATGGTTGGGTACTTAGTCCTTAACTATCTATACACTGCATATATTAAGTGTAATATTATACACGTACTTTATGCTTTCTATAAAAGCATATAACTTATGAATGCTAACCAAGCATGCAAATTGTGCAAAAAAACTAAGGTGCCTAGAAATTTAGAGCAGTGTTCAAAAAAATTAAAATGTCCCACTATAAGACAAATTGCGAAAAGATACTTCATTATAAAAAGGTTAGAGTGAGATATTTTTATTTACAAGTAAAGTCGAAAAGAACGTAAATTCCCACCATTATTTTATTTTTTACTTCGACTATTTTATTTCATACATTTCATATCTATAATATTGACAAAATGTACAGTGTGTAGTACAGACTGTGTACTGATCATAATGTACATAAGTATAAAAAAAAAACAGTTAATAATTACAAATAATATTATCATACACTTTGCTTGAAGTGCTTGAGGATATATCCAGTTGCAGTTGAGTTCTGACGTTTTTGACTCATTGCAGAGTTCATCTTCAGAGTGATATAACCAACTTGAAGACCATGAAAAAGAAATCGTCAGGCAAGAAATTTGCAAAAGAGAAGCAGTTTTACCGAAACAAAACTACAACAAAGATGAGTTAACTTCACTCAAAAATTTAAAGAACGACAACTAATACGTAATCCAAAGGGACGCACAATTATTTACAAATATATATACAAGTATATATACAGTTGTCACAACTTAATACCTAGTCCAAAAAGGCGTACAATTATCTATAAACACCTATATACCTATGTATAAACAGATGTCGCGTTCGCTAGCACTATGTATGTCAAAAAAAACGATCAGAAAAATACACCAGTTCAGGTGTACGTCGAAAACGGAACAGAACGAAATATCCGTAATCCATATTCGGCGGCGGCCTTATCTCAGTGTCAAGGGAGGGGAGACAACCGATGACAACTGATTGTCATATTAATAGCTGGACGGCTCATATCGAGAGAGACACGGGCGAGCGCCAGCCTAGACAAAAAGGCGATGCCGTGTCAACTCCCCCCCACCAAACCGTCAGTCTATTTCTTGACCCGGCCGATATTTGTAAACAAATTGTCGTATCATACACAGTAGATAAAAGTAATAAACAATTGTTGACTTACCGCCATATTCCTTGTGTGTGGGTGGTCATAGATATTGCGTTCAAGACTTACCGTATTAGACTGAAACCTTCAGTCTCGTTGGCAAGATGGAAAGGACTATTCGGTCCGGTCATCCGTAACCTACGGATGACATAAGGACCGAGGAAGTAGAGGAAGGAAACTCCTCAACCGATTACTCGGCTCGAGGTGTTTCAGGAGGGGAGTCAGAGGGAGGAGAACAGGGAGCATCCGCCAGAAAGGCTTCCACCACGTGTCCCAGGTCGTCTTCGATCTCAATGGGAGCCGGTCCAACGGCGGCGGTTGTTACGGCGGAGCTGGCGGTCCGGACGATCTCCGAGTCAGGTGGCAGACGGGTCCTTGGCGCCGGCATCGGGGGCGCCGGTGCGGTTGATGGGCGGATAGCCGCCTCCCTATCCCGGTCCTTCCTTTCCTTTCGATTGATGCGCTCCCTCCAACGTACGTCGGAGGGAGTAAGCTTCCTGTACCCCGGGTGTGCCGGTGGCGGCCGGGTGGCCGAGCCTGTCCCGGAGGACGTGCTCGCTGCGTCGGCCGCTCTGTCCCGGGTGTAGAGCGCCGGGGCTGGACGATCGGCGGTCCGACGCCGTCGGCCCGCTGGTCGCTACACCGCCGCGCCAGCGGTAACCGGGCATTGTGTAAGAGAGGCACCACCCTCCCCCGACACAGACCGCGGGACCACCGGCACGGTGGCGATAGCCCTTCGGGTTTCGCGAAGGGACGCTACACGGCCGTCCCTCATTCCCCGGGTGTAGAAAGCGTTTGCGATCGGGTCCCTAAGGATCTGTTGCAACGCTGTGCTCCGGGCCGCCTCAATCGTTGCACGGATCGCCGGGACGTCGAGCGCCTCCGCCAACTGGCGGAGGAGGTCGCGCACCAGGCCGTCACGCTCGCCACATATACGACAGGACATGCTGAAAATAAAACAGTCCGTTAGCACTACTATACATCGACGACAGCCAATGCTCGGGCCGTAATTTGTAATTCA